ACTTCGATGAAACTTTTGCACCCGTTGCTCGACTAGAGTCTATTAGATTGCTGCTTGGCATTGCGTGTTTTCTTGGTTTTAAGTTGTTTCAGATGGATGTCAAGAGTGCCTTTCTCAATGGTGTGATCCAAGAAGAAGTGTACGTCGAACAACCTACTGGTTTTGAGGATCCACACTTTCCCACTCACGTGTACCGATTGAAGAAAGCTCTCTACGGGTTAAAACAAGCTCCTCGGACATGGTATGAACGATTAGCCAGTTTTCTACTCGAGAACGGCTACAAAAGAGGGGGAGTAGACAAAACGCTTTTCATTCATAATTCGAACGATGTACTATTAGTAGTACAAATCTATATGGATGATATTGTGTTTGGATCTACATCCCAGTCAAAGGTTGACTGGTTTGTTCAGACAATGACTGCTGAGTTTGAGATGAGTATGTTTGGAGAACTCAGTTACTTTCTGGGACTACAAGTCAAGCAAGACAAAGATGGAATCTTTGTCTCTCAAGGGAAGTATGCTCGGAATCTGGTGAAAAGATTTGAACTTGACACGAGCAAATCAGCACGTACTCCCATGTCCACAACCACCAAGTTGACCAAAGATGATGAAGGAGAAGATGTTGATCCAAAACTCTATAAGAGTATGATCGGGAGTCTACTGTACTTAACGGCAAGTAGACCTGACCTGTGCTTAAGTGTGGGCATATGTATCAGATATCAAGCAAAACCTAAGAAGTCTCACATTCTGGCAGTAAAAAGGATAATCAAATATGTCAAAGGGACAGTTGATTATGGGTTACATTACACAAAGGATACGAGTACGCATCTAGTAGGATACTGTGATGCAGATTGGGGAGAAAATACGGATGATCGAAAAAGCACATCAGGAGGGTGTTTCTTTTTGGGTAACAATCTTGTATCATGGCACAGCAAGAAACAAAATTCAACGTCATTATCCACTGTTGAAGCCGAATACATCGCGTTGGGAAGTTGTTGTACTCAATTAATGTGGATGAAACAAATGCTGACTGACTATGGAATTGACACTCACTCGTTTACGGCTCATTGTGACAACACAAGTGCAATCTGTTGGGTTCCTGGGATCTCATGAGCGAATCTAATTCCTAAGAGATCGATTCTAGGGTTTGCGCAGCGGATATAAAACAAAATTTTAATGAAACCCTAGAACCATGCTACTATTGAATCATAGAAACGTTAGAACGCTTACCTCAATCGATCCGGGGCCTGTATCAATTGATCTGTTCGTCCGATCACTCTAGGCAGGAAGAATACCTCGCCCTCTACACGTATCCACACGTCGGGATGGATTCCAACACCTTGGAACTTGTCTGCTAGGACTAGAGATCTCGATCTCTCTTGTGTGCAAGATTTTTGGAGGCTTAGGGTTTTATTTTTCTTCCTTTTTCTTCTTCTTTTTCCTTTTTTCTACTCTTAAAACCCTAGAAGACATTCTCCTTATATAGACTTTCCAAAATCCTAATTTGACAAGGAATAGATTACTAGGAATCCTAATCTAATTAGGTTTCCTAAACCTATTAGAATTCTAATCTCATTAGGTTTCCTAGATGTAATAGAATTCTAATCTCATTAGGATTCCTATACATAACAGGATTCCTAATCCCATTAGGATTCATATTCCAATTAGGAATCTCAATCCAATTAGGATTCCTAATCGGGATAATTTAGCACACGTACTTGTCCATCCCTATTGTGTGTGACCCTGTAGGCTCATCCGGAATAGCAGTAAAACACAGAATCTCCATTCCGGGAATACAAGTCATAGGCGGTCTCTAGCAAGACACTATAACTACCTATCTCGAATAGAGTTTGTTTGTGATCATACGAAAGCCAGTGATGATTCCGACTGATGATCCTTTTGTATCGCGATATCATATGTCGAACATAAGGCATGGACAAGCCACCTTATCTGATTCGACTGCTTTCTCGTTCACTGAGTTCGACTGTCTGAAATAGACGACGTTCGTCTATAGTGCGGCCACACATTTCTACAGTCTTGCTCACACGAGGGGCCCAGCGATATCTCTCTCTTTTACGAGAGGTACAAATCCCGTATTGACTATCTACAATCCAGTACATGATTCGTTTCGTACCTGATACACGCCTTTATAGTCCTCCTGTTACGCAGGACGTTTGACGTAATCAAAGCACGCAACTCCTCATGTTGGATTCTGTAGATATCTCAGGTCTTAGGATCCAATCATAGAATCGTCGTATGAGATTCAAGTCATGACGCTAGTCCATGTGACAATCTCATGCGGGTCAGTCCAGTATTCCGTTCTGCAACGAATACCTATGATTGTGATCGTATCCAATACCTATGATCATCTATGAATGATACTAAACTCCCTAGTCTTATGTCATTATGGGAATAACGACATAATAAGACTAGTATGATGTGTGACATCTCTAAGAATCCAGTACAACATTCACGAACAAAGCATATAGAGATAAGACATCATTTTCTCAGAGAGCAAGTGGAGAAAGGGAGTCTTCTGATTGAGTACGTACCCACTGAACATCAATTAGCTGATATATTTACTAAACCACTTGACATGAATAGATTTACCTGTTTGCAAAAGTCCCTTGGTATTGGTAATTTTTTATTTTGACCACTAACTGAGTTTGTTCTGAAGTGTTTAAGTGATACAATGTTGAAAGGGCGGTCGGCGATACTTCACAATTCTGTCAGGTGTACTTCAAACATATGTGGTACAGACATCCCCTGGTACTCCTTTGTCAGCATATACTCAGGCAAAAATGAGTAATGATTGGTGTTTTTTTTTCGATTTGTCAATAAAAAAAAGAGGGAAAGAAAAAGAAAAAGGGGGCTGACATGAGTAGATTAACAAAATCGCTCGGGTCTAAGTTGAACAACATATAGTTCTTTCGACGGTCTAAGGTCAGATGTAACTTATTCATCATACTCCGCTGTAAGGTGATACTTTACAAGAGTATATCTCAATGAGATAGGGTGGGTTTAAGTGGTGAAACAGTATGATTGGACTCAACGTCCTAGAAGTTCAGGCGGATGATAAATAAATACGAGAAAAATGTACCTTCAGTTGGTGAAGTAAGCACTGGACGAAGAGTGAGGTGTCACTGACTCAACTGGATACACTGCGAACTGAGGTACGAAAGAATAAATTCTCTTGGTGTTAAAATCGTAATTTGATTGCGTAACGGATTTCTGTTTTAAATGTTTTTAAATGTTATTTTTGAAAAGATTGATGTGAGTGGTTGAGTAAATTTTCGGTTATTGGGAAGTGGGATCCGAAAAATCAGAGATTTTCCAAACAAACCCTTTGCCCACAATAAAAAGAGGTGTCTCTCTCTATCCCTGCAAAGTTCTGGAGCTGAAGAACCCTAAAATCTGAGAGGTTGATTCGCAAGAGTGTGAGGTCCAACAGAGTCATGAAGAGAGAGTAAAAAAAAACCCTAGATTCAATCTCAACATGGATCCAAAAGAAAAGAGAGGAGAAAAAGGTGAGGATCGTCACCTAGAATCAGAGGAAGGTTCATCTGGAGAAGGAAAATCGAGTGAACCCAGGAAAGAATCTTCGAACTCGTTTGTGAGTGCTGAAGAAAATCCAGAAGAAAACCCATCAGAAGAATCTCGCAAAAATCCGAGGGAGATTCTACGGACTAGCAAGGAAGATACAGTGGGCGATGAAATCCAAGAACTCGAAGAAAGCCCAGAAGAGAAGATCCAAGAAACGGACGCGGAGATCCCAGAAGAACCGCATGAAGAAAACCCTAGGATCGAAGATGAGTGCAAGGAAACTGAGGATCTACAAACCTCTCTGCCTCCAGAACAAGTTGATACGGGTAAACTTGATGAACTCTTTACATACTCTACTAGAGATATAGAGGAAAGTTCGGATAGTGAGCCTAGGTTGATAAGAAAAAGCACAAGAAGGCGTGTAGATTTTGATAAGGATGTGAGTGTAGAGCATCTGGGAAGGATGTGGGTGATACATACAAACAGATGGAGGAACTGCCCTCGGTTCAATTAGGGCAGGAGAAATCGAAGGATGCTGAAATCGAAGTAGTTGCGGAATCAGCAACAGAGACAGAAGTGCTGAAATCAATAGAGGATGATGAACCTGAAGTGGACTCACGCGCACAAAAGGTTGAAAGCAAGAAACCTAAAACAAAGATCGGTGAGAAAAAGGGCAAGAGTTCTGACTCTCGAGTGCTAGCTGAACAAGGAGCACGTACCAGATCTCAGGTGGCTGCAAAACCAGTGGCGACTGCAAAAAGTCGTCCTAAGAAGATACAAAGGAAGACAAAATCACAGCATGCGTTGGTGATTGCTGAGCACAAAACCCCGAAGAAAGCTGAGAAAAGGAAGGCTGGACCAGCAAAAGACATGCCCCGGGCAAAATCCTCAAAGGTTTCTGAGGAATATCGAAAGGAGAAAATGAAGGGGAAGAGAAAGGTTCAGGAAGAGAGTGAGATACCCAGTTCTCCTTCTGGGTCCGAAGATGAGGAACTACTGGCGAGCCTGTGCATGTCTCATCACTTTGTTGATGAGAAATCTGAACAAAGGTTCAATGACATGAAGAATCTCAATACGATTGTGGAGAGAAACATGAATGTCAGCAACCTCAAGGAGCAAGGGATATGGGACATCCTGGAACGTCTAAATCTAGAAGAGACAATCACCTATGCATGTCCACACAGCAAAATTCTGATCAAAGAATTTTATGCAAACATCACTAAGAAGATTGTGAAAGCAGGAGATCCAATGTACCATCGGGTGTACATAAGAGGGAAGATACTGTACTTTTCTCCAGCAGTAATCAACAAGTTTTTGGGTTTGAAGAACACAGTCGTGACTACAATGGACAAGCTGGACAGGGAAATCGACCAGAAAGAGTTGGAGATAGCTCTCACTGACACCTTTGATGAGAAGAGGAAAGGAGAGATAGCCCCAGTTGAGCTGAACTTCGAGGCTTCAGTACTGTTCAAAATAGCCAGATCTAACTGGTTACCAACTCAGCGATCAAGTCTGATTCAAAAGAGGCTAGCAGTGCTCATCTACTGTGTGAAGAAGGGAATTAAGATCAATTATGGAAATATTATCTTTGATCATATTCTTGAGAGAGCCCTGAACTTCAGAGCAAGATTCAGACTGCCTTATCCCTGCCTAATTCAAAGCATACTCACTAAGCAGTGCCCGGAACTCATTGATCCAAAGGAGAATACCGAGGTGATTCAAAAACCTCTGGTGGTTGAGTCAAGAATCAAAAGGAAGAAGGGAAAAGGAAAGAAGGACGTCAAGAAGATGCTGGAGACTCTCAAGGATGCGGAGAAAGCATTGATAAAGATGGAGCTTGGACTAAGGAAGCAGGCAACACACTATCAGAAAATCCGTACAACAGTCCACGAATACATCGAAGCAACCCTGAGTAATGTGTTCATTATTCGACCAGGTACTCCTAAACTTAATAATCGTGTTTTTGATTATTTCATCCATGCCCACAGGGGGAGAACTTGAGGAAATAGAAGGAGACCTCGACTCAGAAGAAGAAAACTCGGAGGAGGAGGACGAAGAAGAAGACTCTGAGATGCCTAAGCCAACTCCTAAGAAGGCGGAAGCATCAAGGAAGTCAGGAACAATCAAGAAGACTAGGAAAGCCAGGAGTCCTTTTGATGGCTCATCGTCTCGTTTCTAACTCTTACTTGGCTGATGATCTGAACTTCTATGTTTTTTTATGACTCTATTATGTTCTTGATGACTTGATGTGTTTTTGATGACTTGTGGTGATCTGAAGACATATTCTGTGTGATGACTCTGTTTTGGCTATTTTGATTTGAACATTGATGAAATCAGTTGAAAGATTTGTGTTTGTGTGCATGATCTGAAATAACCAAAAAGGGGGAGATTGTTAGTGCAAGTATTTGCACGTGAGTTTTGGTTGTTAAAAGGTTGTTACAGGTTCAACAACTTATGAGAGATTTCAGGAGAAGAATCCGGCGAAGATTGCACTCGAGCAAATCTGAGGTACAACTGACGAGATTCAAATAGAGTCAAAGACCGAAGAGATAAAGTCAAAGGCTGAAGAGATAGAGTCAATAACAAGAGATAAGGCGAGATCTTGAAGATAGACTCGAAATCAGCAAGAATCAAGAAGAAGTAAATCCAATCACTTCGTGGAGATCTAAAGACGAACCAGAAGAGTTTAAATAGAGGGTCAAGCGCATATCAGCTCTACAGAGAGCATGAGCATAATTTCTTAGTCTATTCCGTTCAGTGAGTGTGTTCTCATTATTTGGTGAGTGCGAGTCTGAGAGAGAGACCGATTGGGCAAATCTCTTTTCTCTGGTGAGTGATTTATGTTGTGAGGTTTTTTTATGAGTAGAATTCATTGTGAGAGGGGAAGAAACTCAGGGGGAGTTTCGGGTGTGTGTAGTAAGTACGATTCTTACAACAAAAAGTGAGTTGTACTTGACTATCTTTCTCAAGTGAATAGAACTGATTAGTTTTCCGCATTACACTTTGAGTGTTCAACTTTTTCAGAGGTCATATGGAAGGAACACAATCAACGGTTATTTCGCAACCGATCTAATACAGTGGCGATTACCTGTCTTAAGATTAATAGACGCATAAGGAATATTTTCTTGACTGCTGCTGACCGATGTCGGATCACAACTTCATCTTCTCTCCAAGATTGGTATTATCTCGAGATTATCTCCCGCTAAATCGTCTACCAAGTTAAATCTTTGTATACCCAATTATGGGTCTTTTGTATACCACTTGTCATGGGTCTCTTATTCTGTTTTCGAACAAAAACTGATCTGTAAAGTTTTGATATAATTAATACGATTCATATTTTAATAAAAAAAAAATCTTCTAAACCCTAATCTCTAATTAAGCCGTGTCTAAAACAGTTGCTAATGCAAATTATGCCCGTGCAGGTTTATAGGGTGTAGATGATCGACCTAATAATTAAAACCTGAATCAACTTAAATTTTTACTTCAATTCATTTCTATATATATATATATATAAAGAAATATGGAGAACATTCAAAAAATTATATAATATTATATAATATTTAGGTTTGAATTTATTTTTATATTTTATATATTTATATTGATTAAATAATATATTTTGTGATTTCTATCTATAAATGTTATAATAATTTATGTTAAATAACGAAAAATCAAACGATTTTTGTACTTGGCTCTCTGCTAACTGTAACTACTTTTCATTTTGTTTACTCGTAACCCTAATGTTAGGGGAAATAATTGCGTTTCATTAATTGCTAAGAGATAAGCGGTCGGTGGAAAATGAAATCATTAAATGACCTAAGGCCACAGGGATGAAAAAGGGAAAGAAATGCAACACATTTTACTATGATAATCTAAAATACTAATTTAATGGTTACAACTTTTTTCATTACGTGTTTGATTTAACTATATTGGACCGAAGTGGTCCAACTCCATACTCATAATTCCTTCGGTCCACACTATGTATGCATGCGGTGGGTTGAATTGAATTGAGACCTATAACTAGTTTGAATAATGGAATTCACTTAATTTGGCCCTTGTTTTCCACGTGCCTTTTATTGGAAAAAAAAAACACAAACACGAAATAATATCGCTAATAGAACAACCCTAATGTAATCACTTTTCCTTTTTTTTTTTGTGTTATGTTTTTCTTTCAGATTTTTTTGGTCAAATAGAGTGGTTTGTTTTGTTAATAACCAATAATCTAAATCTAATCGACTTGAAACAAATAATATATCAGTGTAATCAAATTGAATTAGATATAAAAATTTGCAGAATTATAATTTCTCTAAAGTAGAAAAACATAACTTCAATCAAATCGAATAAAAAAATTTTAAATTTTTTTTTAAAAATTGAATCTTTTTGTTAATAAAAGTCCGATATAATACAAATGCGTATATTGTAAAAACTATCAAAGATTTTAACTACTTGATGTTGATGTTGATGTTGATGTTATAGTTTTTCTCTAGTAAACATAAAAAATATTGTTATTATCCAAGTTGAAAAATATTTTAAAAATGTTAAATGTAAATTATCTAATATATATTATACAAAAAAAAACATTATCTAATATATATAACTATATATATGTGTGTGTGTGTGTATTAACAAGTGTCAAATGAATGGAGACTGGAGAGGAGGTTTTTGGATATCGTGATCGCAACTAAAGGGTAGTTTTGTAATTTCGTGATAAGCAGAATCGCTCGCTGTTGCTGTTGGTCGACAGATTGACGGTTATTTTCGTCTGTTTTGGATCGTTTGACCAAAACTCCCATTACAATGACAAAATTCACTTTACCCCAATAAACGATCAGAATTCTGCCACGTGGGTATATATCTCTTCCTCCAATAATATTCCTCCATCTCATAGGGTGCTCCGTACTGGAACTCTCCTCTTCATCCACCTTCCTGGTTCCCTCCGAAGGCTCTGCTTGCTGCTCCATGGAATCTTCGCTACGCGACTGAATTTGAAGTCAAAATTTTATTTACCTCTTCTTCTTCTCAATCACTGTTTCGTTTCTCTAATCTTTCGGTCTGTAGCTCCGTTCTCGATCCAGGATTCCGGCCTCCTCCGGTGCCTCTCTCCGCCGCCGTTCCTCCGGTGAGAAGCAGCCCGGGAAATGATTTGACCTCATGTCCGTGTGGTCCCAGTAGCTTCTACTTCGACTCGTGTGGGTTCTGTCAGAAAACACCAACGCTATGCAGCAATCTGGTGAGTTTCTAATCGGATTTTGTAGCCATGGCACAAATGAAGAGGCCCTGTTCCTTGTATGATCTATGATTTTCTTCATTTACTCCTCAGATTCATGATACCGTTTGCTTCTTGAATCTGTTTCCGGCCTGAATTTGGAAAGAAAGTGGCCCATGAGGTTCCACGTCTCTGACTAATCTTGGGTTTGATGTCAGAGTACGATGTCAATGCTCTCTACCAGGAAGCTCAGACCCGCTGGTTGAAACCGGCGGAGGTCCTCTTCATTCTGCAGAATCATGAACGATATCAGCTAACACCAAAGGCTCCTCTAAAACCAACCAGTTAGTCACGGATCTTTGCTGCTGCTTTGATGAGACAGATGGGATGTTCTTGCCTTGGGTTGATGTTTGAAAAATTCATATACTTTCTCGAATCCTGTACAGGTGGATCTTTGTTCCTTTTCAACAAAAGGGTTCTCAAGTTTTTCCGTAAAGATGGTCATCAATGGCGGAGAAAGAAGGATGGGAGAGCTATTGCAGAAGCACATGAACGACTCAAGGTGAAAACTAGCTTCATTTTCTGCATCTTGGATGTTGGATGTTGGTTTGTTTGGATTCAACTTTCGCTGTGATTGAGATATTTTATTATCTTTTGTGATTGCGAACAAGGTGGGAAATGCTGAGGCTTTGAATTGTTATTACGCACATGGAGAGCAAAACCCCAATTTTCAAAGGCGTAGCTATTGGATGCTTGATCCGTAAGTAACGTACTACTTCTTGCACGCTCTAATTTCGGGTTCTTGTCGTTCTATTCCCTTGCTAATTTGATGTTTATGCTGTCGATTGCTCTTTCGGTTCCATATGAAGTATTTTTCCTGTTGTGCTTGTCAGGGCTTATGAGCATATTGTTCTTGTGCATTATAGAGACGTGAGCGAGGGAAAGGAGGTGAGTGTCTTTTGTAACGTAAACGGAAATTTCTGGTGTGTTGATGTAATCTATGAGATCATGGCCATCTTGAATTTGCAGGGAAAACAAGGCAGTGGACATATTTTGCACTTCTCGCCGGATTCTTCCTCTTTTTTCTCAAGTCCAAGCTCCATCGCCACTCAGAACACTAGCCATAACCATTACATAAGTGACTCGACTGAATTTCTTCAGCAGTATTCATCCAGTTCACGCTCTGCAGAGGAGAGCTCGGAAACCGTGTTGAAGGGTAATGGAGTTGAGACCCCGGCAGACAGTACAAGCTCTTCCGGTCGACAGTT